ACAAACTACACTGAACAACATTAGTAAAACAGGATCACTCCATTAAACATACAGAAGTACTCTTACTTGTGTAAATCACCATACAAACTACACTGAACAACATTAGTAAAACAGGGTCACTCCATTTAATATACAGCAGTACTCTTACATGTGTAAATCACCATACAAACTACACTAAACAACATTAGTAAAACAGGATCACTCCATTAAACATACAGAAGTACTCTTACTTGTGTAAACCTCCAAACAAACTACACTAAACAACATTAGTAAAACAGGATCACTCCATTAAACATACAGAAGTACTCTTACTTGTGTAAATCTCCAAACGAACTGTCAAATAATATAAGTTTATATGTGAACTTAAAAGACCTCGAACACTAGCAGGCCTAGGTATGTAATAAATTGCTCCTGAAGGAGACATGGGTGCAGCACCTATCCTTGCCAGAACCACTCAGTATACTCCATCTACGGAAAATTGTAAGGAAGTTATAAAGGACAAACATCACAGGCTTCACAAGTAGTTACCAACCCACTGATTGTGTGTACCTTACTGACAAGTAGTTACCAACCCAATGATTGTGTATTCTGTGTACCTTATTGACAAGTAACGTCCAACTCACTGATTGTGTGTACCTAACTGACAAGTAGTTACCAACCCACTGATTGTGTGTACCTTACTGACAAGTAGTTTCCAACCGACTGATTCTGTGTACCTTATTGACAAGTAACGTCCAACTCACTGATTGTGTGTACCTAACTGACAAGTAGTTACCAACCCACTGATTGTGTGTACCTAACTGACAAGTAGTTACCAACCCACTGATTGTGTGCACCTTACTGACAAGTAACGTCCAACCCACTGATTGTGTGTACCTTACTGACGAGTAGTTACCAACCCACTGATTGTGTGTACCTAACTGACAAGTGGTTACCAACCCACTGATTGTGTGTACCTTACTGACAAGTAGTTACCAACCCACTGATTGTGTGTACCTAACTGACAAGTAGTTACCAACCCACTGATTGTGTGTACCTAACTGACAAGTAGTTACCAACCCACTGATTGTGTGTACCTAACTGACAAGTAGTTACCAACCCACTGATTGTGTGTACCTAACTGACAAGTAGTTACCAACCCACTGATTGTGTGTACCTAACTGACAAGTAGTTACCAACCCACTGATTGTGTGTACCTAACTGACAAGTAGTTACCAACCCACTGATTGTGTGTACCTAACTGACAAGTAGTTACCAACCCACTGATTGTGTGTACCTAACTGACAAGTAGTTACCAACCCACTGATTGTGTGTACCTAACTGACAAGTAGTTACCAACCCACTGATTGTGTGTACCTAACTGACAAGTAGTTACCAACCCACTGATTGTGTGTACCTAACTGACAAGTAGTTACCAACCCACTGATTGTGTGTACCTAACTGACAAGTAGTTACCAACCCACTGATTGTGTGTACCTAACTGACAAGTAGTTACCAACCCACTGATTGTGTGTACCTAACTGACAAGTAGTTACCAACCCACTGATTGTGTGTACCTAACTGACAAGTAGTTACCAACCCACTGATTGTGTGTACCTAACTGACAAGTAGTTACCAACCCACTGATTGTGTGTACCTTACTGACAAGTAGTTACCAACCCACTGATTGTGTGTACCTTACTGACAAGTAGTTACCAACCCACTGATTGTGTGTACCTTACTGACAAGTAGTTACCAACCCACTGATTGTGTGTACCTAACTGACAAGTAGTTACCAACCCACTGATTGTGTGTACCTAACTGACAAGTAGTTACCAACCCACTGATTGTGTGTACCTTACTGACAAGTAGTTACCAACCCACTGATTGTGTGTACCTTACTGACAAGTAGTTACCAACCCACTGATTGTGTGTACCTTACTGACAAGTAGTTACCAACCCACTGATTGTGTGTACCTTACTGACAAGTAGTTACCAACCCACTGATTGTGTGTACCTTACTGACAAGTAGTTACCAACCCACTGATTGTGTGTACCTTACTGACAAGTAGTTACCAACCCACTGATTGTGTGTACCTTACTGACAAGTAGTTACCAACCCACTGATTGTGTGTACCTTACTGACAAGTAGTTACCAACCCACTGATTGTGTGTACCTTACTGACAAGTAGTTACCAACCCACTGATTGTGTGTACCTTACTGACAAGTAGTTACCAACCCACTGATTGTGTGTACCTTACTGACAAGTAGTTACCAACCCACTGATTGTGTGTACCTTACTGACAAGTAGTTACCAACCCACTGATTGTGTGTACCTTACTGACAAGTAGTTACCAACCCACTGATTGTGTGTACCTTACTGACAAGTAGTTACCAACCCACTGATTGTGTGTACCTTACTGACAAGTAGTTACCAACCCACTGATTGTGTGTACCTTACTGACAAGTAGTTACCAACCCACTGATTGTGTGTACCTTACTGACAAGTAGTTACCAACCCACTGATTGTGTGTACCTTACTGACAAGTAGTTACCAACCCACTGATTGTGTGTACCTTACTGACAAGTAGTTACCAACCCACTGATTGTGTGTACCTTACTGACAAGTAGTTACCAACCCACTGATTGTGTGTACCTTACTGACAAGTAGTTACCAACCCACTGATTGTGTGTACCTTACTGACAAGTAACGTCCAACCCACTGATTGTGTGTACCTTACTGACAAGTAGTTACCAACCCACTAATTGTGTGTACCTTACTGACAAGTACTTACCAACCTACTGATTGTGTGTACCTAACTGACAGGTAACGTCCAACCCACTGATTGTGTAACTAACTGACAAGTAATGTTCAACCCACTGATTGTGTGTACCTTACTGACAAGTAACGTTCAACCCACTGATTGTGTGTTCCTAACTGACAAGTAACGTCCAACCCACTGATTGTGTATACCTTACATTACAAGTAGTTACCAACCCACTGATTGTGTGTACCTTACTGACAAGTAACGTCCAACCCACTGATTGTGTGTACCTTACTGACAAGTAACGTCCAACCCACTGATTGTGTGTACCTTACTGACAAGTAGTTACCAACCCACTGATTGCGTGTACCCTATGACTAGAAACATCCTTTAATCTTGTGACCTCAAATAAACCTTATTTTCATAATGTTATGTCTTCTTTTGCAAATGCCATAGAAACTAGTGATAGGTGTCGGGCGCTTAACACTCCAGTTAGCAATATAACTAATCTCTAGCCTCTGTTTTTCCTTGATGGTAGTTCACTAGGGTGGCCATTTGCTAATAATGCCAGCAGCCTGCACACAACCAGGGGAATGTAGCTGTGTTAGTGTGATAGTGGAGGCTTGGCACCACTGCCAGTAGGCTAAGCCCTCTGATGAAAACAACACACAACATTACCTCATCATAGAACTCCAAGATGGTTATATTCATGATCCACTGGCAGATTACAATCCATGTTAACACATACAGGTATAGCAGGTATACAGGTTAAAGGCCTGCATATATATAGCAGGTGTACAGGTTAAATGTCAGTGTATAGCAGGTATACAGGTTATAGGTCAGTATATAGCAGGTATACAGGTTAAAGGCCTGTATATATATAGCAGGTATACAGGTTAAATGTCAGTATATAGCAGGTATACGGTTATAGGTCAGTATATAGCAGGTATTCAGGTTAAATGTCTATATATATAGCAGGTGTACAGGTTAAAGATCTATATATATATATATATAGTGTACAGGTTAAAGGCCAGTATATAGCAGGTATACAGTTTAAAGGTCTGTATATATATAGCAGGTGTACAGGTTAAATGTCAGTATATAGCTGGTATACAGGTTATAGGTCAGTATATATATAGCAGGTGTACAGGTTAAATGTCAGTATATAGCAGGTATACAGGTTATAGTTCAGTATATATATAGCAGGTGTACAGGTTAAATGTCAGTATATAGCAGGTATACAGGTTATAGTTCAGTATATATATAGCAGGTGTACAGGTTAAATGTCAGTATATAGCAGGTATACAGGTTAAAGGTCTGTATATATATAGCAGGTGTACAGGTTAAAGGTCTATATATATATATATAGTATAGGTTAAAGGTCTGTATATATATATAGCAGGTATACAGGTTAAAGGTCTGTATATATATATAGCAGGTATACAGATTAAAGGTCTGTATATATATGGCAGGTATACAGGTTAAAGGTCTGTATATATATAGTGTACAGGTTAAAGGCCAGTATATACCAGGTTTACAGGTTAAAGGTCTGTATATATGTAGTGTACAGGTTAAAGGCCAGTATATAGCAGGTTTACAGGTTAAAGGTCTGTATATATATAGCAGGTGTACAGGTTAAAGGTCCGTCTATATATATAGCAGGTGTACAGGTTAAAGGCCTGCATATAGCAGGTATAAGGTTATAGGCCTGTACATAACAGCTATACAATACATGCAGGTTACAGGCCGGTATATAGCCTATGTCTTATATACAGCCTGTCTTATTAACATATTAAACAGTTCTGTACAAGGCAGCTTGCAGCCTATATCTTATAAAGAGTGTGAAAGGTAAAAATATTTATAGCTGAAACACAACTTGAGGACAGATGCTCACATGTATGTACACATCCAAACCCGTTCAAATGTCAAGCCTTTAGATATTAAATCCTCTTAATCAATGAAAAGAAGGAATCACATGTTAAAGAAAATGTCCAAGTGGATCAGGAAATTTAGCTTACCACAAATATCTGTCTTTGGCGAGGAGGAGCCAACATCTCAATTTTCACTTTCCATTTCACGGACTGGTGAGAATTCAAAACAAATATCACAGGTTTCCACAACACTGAAACAAAAAGCAGGTACATAGCTAAGTATAGAATATTTAATCAATATTATATTATTTGTCTTCGAAGTAAAATGTTTGGTCATGTTTTGGTTTCTTGAACCAAATGCTATATAATAACATGGAACATCGAAAACACTACATCACAGAGAAAGGTAACACTAAATCACTGAGCAAGGTAACACTACATCACTGAGCAAGGTAACACTACATAAATCAGTAAGGTAACACTACATCACTCAGCAAGGTAACACTACATCACTCAGTAAGGTATACGTAACACTACATCACTGAGCAAGGTAACACTACATCACTGAGCAAGGTAACACTACATCACTCAGTAAGGTAACACTACATGTAACACCATCACTGAGCAAGGTAACACTACATCACTGAGAAAGGTAACACTACATCACTCAGTAAGGTATACGTAACACTACATCACTCAGTAAGCTAACACTACATCACTGAGCAAGGTATACGTAACACTTCATCACTGAGCAAGGTAACACTACATCACTGAGCAAGGTAACACTACATCACTGAGCAAAGTATCACTACATCACTGAGCAAGGTAACACTACATCACTGAGCAAGGTAACACTAAATCACTGAGCAAGGTAACACTACATCACTCAGTAAGGTAACACAACATCACTCAGTAAGGTAACACAACATCACTCAGTAAGGTAACACAACATCACTGCGCAAGTTAACAACATCACTCAGTAAGGTTACACCACATCACTCAGCAAGGTAACACTACATCACTCAGCAAGGTATACGTTACACTACATCACTCAGCAAGGTATACGTAACACTACATCACTGAGCAAGGTAACACTAAATCACTCAGCAAGGTAACACTACATAACCCAGTAAGGTAACACTGCATCACTCAGCAAGGTAACACTACATCGCTCAGTAAGGTAACACTACATCACTCAGCAAGGGAACACTACATCACTCAGCAAGGTATACGTTACACTACATCACTCAGCAAGGTATACGTAACACTACATCGCTCAGCAAGGTAACACTACATCACTCAGTAAGGTAACTCTACATCACTGAGCAAGGTAACACTACATCACTCAGCAAAGTAACACTACATAACTCAGTAAGGTAACACTGCATAACTCAGCAAGGTAACACTACATCACTCAGCAAAGTAACACTACATAACTCAGTAAGGTAACACTACATCACTCAGCAAGGTAACACTAAATAACTCAGTAAGGTAACACTACATCACCCAGCAAGGTAACACTACATCACTCAGCAAAGTAACACTACATAACTCAGTAAGGTAACACTGCATCACTCAGCAAGGTAACACTACATCACCCAGCAAGGTAACACTACATCACTCAGCAAAGTAACACTACATAACTCAGTAAGGTAACACTGCATCACTCAGCAAGGTAACACTACATCCCTCAGCAAGGTATACATTACACTACATCCCTCAGCAAGGTATACGTAACACTACATCACCCAGTAAGGTAACACTACATCACTGAACAAGGTAACACAACATCACTGAGCAAGGTAACATCATCACCCAGTAAGGTTACACCACAACACTCAGCAAGGTAACACTACATCACTCAGGAAGGTATACATTACACTACATCACTCAGCAAGGTATACGTTACACTACATCACTCAGCAAGGTATACGTTACACTACATCACTCAGCAAGGTATACGTAACACTACATCACCCAGTAAGGTAACACTACATCACTGAGCAAGGTAACACAACATCACTGAGCAAGGTAACATCATCACTCAGTAAGGTTACACCACATCACTCAGCAAGGTAACACTACATCACTCAGCAAGGTAACACTACATCACTCTGCAGTATTGTGTGAATTTTGGATAGATAATTTCTGCTATATTAGGTGAATTTGAGACAGATAATTCTATGGTTGCGGTATTGGGTGAATTTGGGATAGATAATTGCAGAGGAATTGTGTGAATTTAGGATAAACAATTTGTGTGATAGTGTTGAATTTAAAAATGATATTTTTTTGGATTAAGGATAGCTAATTTTGAAGGTATCATTGGAAAAATCCCTTTTTCCCCGAAATCATACTTTTTGTGAGATATTTTTTTCTAAAGTCAAAAGACACAGGATCCTGTGGAAAAAAAAATCATTGGCTGTTCCTGAATTTCAACACTAAAGCTGTCAATCAACTCAACATAAAACCTGTCCCTCCACTATACCTATTACTGTACTATATAACATTACACCTGTCCCTCTACCATACCTATTACTGTACTACATAACATTACACCTGTCCCTCCACCATACCTATTACTGTATTATATAACATTACACCTGTCCCTCCAACATACCCATTACTGTACTATATAACACTACACCTGTCCCTCCACCATACCTATTACTGTACTATATAACATTACACCTGTCCCTCCACCATACCCATTACTGTACTATATAACATTACACCTGTCCCTCCACCATAACTATTACTGTACTATATAACATTATACCTGTCCCTCCACCATACCCATTACTGTACTATATAACATTACCCCTGTCCCTCCACCATACCTATTACTGTATTATATAACATTACACCTGTCCCTCCACCATAACTATTACTGTACTATATAACATTATACCTGTCCCTCCACCATACCCATTACTGTACTATATAACACTACACCTGTCCCTCCACCATACCTATTCCTGTACTATATAACACTACCCCTGTCCCTCCACCATCCCTATTACTGTACTATATAACACTACACCTGTCCCTCCTCCATACCTATTACTGTACTACATAACATTACACCTGTCCCTCCACCATACCCATTACTGTTTTATATAACATTACACCTGTCCCTCCACCATACCAATTACTGTACTATATAACATTACACCTGTCCCTCTACCATACCTATTACTGTACTACATAACATTACACCTGTCCCTCCACCATACCCATTACTGTTTTATATAACATTACACCTGTCCCTCCACCATACCAATTACTGTACTATATAACATTACACCTGTCCCTCTACCATACCTATTACTGTACTACATAACATTACACCTGTCCCTCCACCATACCCATTACTGTTTTATATAACATTACACCTGTCCCTCCACCATAACTATTACTGTACTATATAACATTATTCCTGTCCCTCCACCATACCCATTACTGTACTATATAACATTACATCTGTCCCTCCACCATACCTATTACTGTACTACATAACATTACACCTGTCCCTCCACCATACCCATTACTGTTTTATATAACATTACACCTGTCCCTCCACCATACCTATTATTGTACTATATAACATTACACCTGTCCTTCCACCATACATATTACTGTACTATATAACATTACACCTGTCCATCCACCATACATATTACTGTACTATATAACATTACACCTGTCCTTCCACCATACATATTACTGTACTATATAACATTACACCTGTCCCTCTACCATACCTATTACTGTACTACATAACATTACACCTGTCCCTCCACCATACCCATTACTGTACTATATAACATTACATCTGTCCCTCCACCATACCTATTACTGTACTATATCACATTACACCTGTCCCTCCACCATACCTATTACTGCACTATATAATATTACACCTGTCCCTCCACCATACCCATTACTGTTTTATATAACATTACACCTGTCCCTCCACCATAACTATTACTGTACTATATAACATTATACCTGTCCCTCCACCATACCCATTACTGTACTATATCACATTACACCTGTCCCTCCACCATACCTATTACTGTACTATATAACATTACACCTTTCCCTCCACTAAACACCATACCTGTCTCTATATAACATTACACCTGTCCCTCCACTAAACACCATATATATACCTGTCTCTATATAACATTACACTGGTCCATCACCTTAAGGTTGACATATCTAACCTATGACATGTACAGAGGTGACCTTGACTTACCTTCATCATTGCGTGACTTGATAAGGAGGTTGACCTCTGCAACATCATTTCGATAAACTGGTCCAGCATTGAGCAGGTTAATGATATGAACCTCCTGATTAGACTCTGTGGTTGAGTTGGTGGAACAGCCTACTCCTGATGTCACTTGTTCATAGAAAGCTGAAATGTGGGGGGTGGCATACGGGTATGCAATCACACACGACGGGTTGGCATTTTCACCTGAAATTAGAAATAAAATAATTTGATGTACATGTAATTTTTACTAATATATTGTGATATACTATGGCAGTTGAAGTATACTGGCGACACAGATCAGTCTCAGCCAGTAAAACAGATATTTGTGACAGGATACAGTATGTATATACCGATGCAAATTTCAAAATACATAAAGATTATATAATTATCCCCCTTCTATTTCATATCAGTTATAATCATTGAGAGAAACAATCATTTTAAAACATTTTTGAGCGATTTCTTCAAAGGAAGGCGGAATTACATTGACCTTTCGGGGTCACACTCTTGTTTGTGATATCATTGATAATCAATTTCATGACAACGCAAGGTCAATTAGGTCATTGACATCATTAATTAACTCATTCACACCTGAAGACACATTTGAACTCTTCCAATTCAAGGGTTAGAATAGTTCATTATGAAATTTCAGGGGTGAATGAGCTAACAATTGCAATCCAGGCTTCCTATGGAAAAGTCCAATTTGCAACCGTATATCTTGGTTTAAGCACCAAAATTCTCCAATCAAATATTGTGTTACATCAAAGAATTAAAATTAAGATTATATGACATACCCTTTAGCTCGATCTACACATACAATTTTTGTACGTAGGGTTACAATGAGAAACCCTCTACACATACTCTGGATTACTGTAAAACCATTAATTCTGTTTTGATAAAATTTATTTGGATAAGTGTATAATTGAAAGGCATGTATTTGTGTTCAAATTTTATGTGTTTTAAATTTGTTGCCTTTGTGCAAAAACAGAAAACCAAAAACAGAAAAGGTAAAATTGAAAATTGTTTAACAAAATTTATGCTATATGTACAGTACTGTACCATTAAACTACCCAACTCATAAAAGAGCAAATGTCTCATGTGTATTTGGACATTTGGTGTATGACGTTTAATGATCACACATGTGTATACAAAGGGGTGTCTTAACCTACTTCCCTCAATTGTCATTGTATTAGCATAAAAAAAAATGCTGTCTTAAAGAAGAAGATGAATGATTTGGAGCTGTATCCTTACATAAAAATCCGAGAGTTATTAAATATGGACGTGACACAGCATCTGGTAGGAACGTAAACAAAAAATGTTTTTTTGTCATTTAGATCAACTTCAGAAGAAACTCTACAACTGAAAAATAGACTTCCTTTAAGAATTAAGAGTCACTGTGACAAAATAATGTATATCAATAATTGACGATGTCACAATCCCAGTCTTGTGTTTATGTAGCACAATTTCCAAGCTTTGCCTGTTTTATATTATGAGGTATACTAAAATGTTCACAATCCATACAGTGATGACAAGCCAGACAATCACTTCCAGAGAGGCAAAGAAGGAGTAGCATTGCATGGCAAAACTGTTAGCATCCCCAATATGTATCCTCATAAAACTCTTATAAGAACATGCAATCACGGTCTGTTACAAGTCTCTTGTAATTTTATGAAAGTCTAATGCATACCTTAACAGATCTTTTCAGTTGTTGTACAGCCTTGAAATGTTATGTTTTTGTATATATCCCACATCTTCAAAGAAAACTTCACGGATTTTCATGGTATATATGATACCTAATTTCAGACATATTATTCAGCATACATTTAAAATGACATTATCTATTCAGTAAAACCTTGCCATTGTAATACTGAGAATGAAACGATAGTTTGCTAGATTTATTTATCATTCCCTTTAATTACAACAAGGAATCTTTTATCTATGGATTTTTTGAGGGAAAAAACAATGTTAATAACTTAATTATTTTAGTTATGAAGCAATATTTGTATAACACAAGATGCCAGGAAAAAAGCCTGTCTTTATTAGCTTTGAAAAACTATATTAAAGAAACACATCACACTCAAAAATATATAGCTACTGGTAAAGGGGAAAATTACCTTACCATCTTTAAGAATGAATGACAAATACTCAAAAAATGGAAAAAGTCCAGGAACGAGCACTTCGTTTTATTGAAAATGATTATGTTTCCCCAGTCATTTATATTCTTAGAAAACACAAACTTGATTTTTTACATGTAAAACGTATGAAAGATATGGCCTCTGAGGTTTTTAAAATATTTGATGAAATTCCTCCATCAATTTTACAAAATCTTGTTGAGAGGAAAGATTTTTTTTACAATCTGAGACAAGAAAACCTGGTAAAGATTCCAAAGGTGAACACCTCCACATATGGTAAGAGATCTTTCCGATTTGCTGCCTCCCAGGTGTGGAACAGCCTACCAAATGAACTTCAATTAGCTGAAAACTATAAGTCGTTTCGTGGGCTGCTCCACACCTGGAACAAAAATGTCTGCTCATGTGCTATCTGCGCACACCATATAGTGTGAGTTGTCCCCCTTTGGAATCTACCTACATGTTTTATATAACAACTATTTAATTTAATTTCACTGCTGCTTGTGTAATTTAATTTAATGTACTTCAGTAATATACTTATTATATAATTGATATTTATTTTAGATTTGAGCTCCATTATTTAAAAGATCATTACTTTTTTACAATATCATAATTATAGCTCTTGTTTCTATTTATGACTTCATTGTCTCTTTTTAATTCACACTATATTAGTATATATCCTGTACATTTTTACACTTTGCTACATTAGCATATATGTACATTACACTAGTATATAGTGTCTTAACTTGTCTTTCATAACACTTGTGCGACATACAAGTGTGATATTATATGCTCTACTGTATAATTTTAGCATATCTAATTTGAATTGTTGTCCTGATTTTATAGTTATTCATAAGTACTGTGATCCTTGTTAAATTTTATATATGTTTTGTCGCAAGAATAGCACTACAGTGCTAATGTTATTATGTTACATGTATATGCGATGTTAAATAAAGCTTCTTGAATCTTGAATCTTGAATGGAAAAAATAGGAAAGATACCTGGCCTCTACATAAAATATAGAAATACTTAGATGTTTCATTCTCTGTTTATAATTATAAGAGATATGTGATTTCCATGTCTGTCCTCTTCATAGACATGTTTGCCTGGTGATCACTTCCTATATTGTAACTGATATCTTAACTTGGTAAACTTTATGAATATGATAGGAAGTTGTGTTTTTCTGTAAGAGTTATTGCCCTTTGTTATCTCATTGCTTGAGTCTTGCTAGTATGACTTGTAGTCTGTAGCATTGTTCCTTATTGAAATTTTCTCAGGTATTTTTATACATTTTACTTTTTATACAAGAATCTATGTCAGGAATGTGGTGTACTTTGGTTCAAAATCATATACTATGATTCAGTCCCAAGTTGGTGTTTATCTTGGTATGAGTTACTATCAATGCCATATTTTTATATCCTCTATAGTGATATCTATATTCTACAAAGGTTTACAATATATATGTGTATGAAAATATAGTTGATACAAAAACTGGTCAAAGTCCCTGGCAATATTAATATTAATATAATATTATAATAAAAATAACAAAAACGTTAGACTTTACTCATAAACAAGTTATTTCTTTTAATAAATATTAAATAATTATATAAATATTTGTCATGTCAGCATGACCTAAAAACTTGCCACTGATAACTGTTCACTTCTATGTTATAATTTCAGGTAGTAAAATCTATCAGTTTACTATAACACAGGTGTACCATGTTATAGTTTCACGTAGTAAAATCTCTCAGTTAATTATGACACAGGTGTAACAACATATTTTAACAGTTATTTGTTATTATTTAAAGAATAACCAATATATTATTTTTGGGGTTAAACGGTATATACTGAAAAAATTGTTTGCATTTTGCATAATAATCTGCAAGTAATCATGCACAAAAGTATGCACTGTTATTTAAGTATACAAGAGGCCCAAGGGCCTTAGCAGTCACCTGAGTTATATCATAGGTACTGGTAGCTTTATTTTATTGTTTAGATGTGATGTGGAAATCAGCATGTAAACTAAGCGAAATACAATACTTGTCATGTCATCAAAGGATAAGAATTTGAAAATATTGGTAAATGTTCCCTTTGGGGCCCCGCACTAGCCCTTTGGGATGGGGCAGGAATCCAAATTTTTAAATTTAATACTCTCATTCACCAAAGATGATTCTGACTAAGTTTGAGTAATTTTCTGCTGAAAATGGATAAAATAAACCCAAAAGTGTTATTTCCCTATAATATATAAACTTTAGCAAACTTTACCCCCTCACCAAGGGAGAACGGATAGCCCCGTAAGTAAAGCCCCTGATGATCTTTCTTTCCATGCTGAGAAAATGACTGTAGCACCTCTGAGTCTGGAGAAGAAGATTTTTGAAATATTGGTTAATTTTCCCTTTGGGGCCCCACCCTGGCCCCAGGGTTTGGGGTAGGAATCTCAATTTTACAATTTGAAACCATCTTTCTCCAAGGATAATTCTCACTAAGTAAAAATAAATTCGCACAAAAAGTTGTCAAAATATACCCACAAGTGTTATTTCCCTATATAAACTATAGTAAACTCTACCCCCTCCCCAAAGGAGAATGGATAGCTCGGGGGTCCTGAAATTTACAATTTCAATAAAGCAACTGATGATCTTTCTTTCCATGCAGAGAAAATGACTGTAGTACCTCTGAGTCTGGAGAAGAAATTTTTTGAAATATTGTTTAATTTTCGCTTTGGGTCCCCGCCCTGGCCCCAGGGGTCGGGGTAGGAATCCCAATTTTACAATTTTGTAGCCTCATCTACCAAGGATGATTCTGACCAAGTTTGAAAACAATCCATCCACTGGTTCTTGAGAAGTTGAAGATGTAAAAAGTTCACGCTCGACGGACGATGCACGACGGACGACGACGGACGGAAAGCGATTAGAATAGGTCACTTGAGCAAAGCTCAGGTGACCTAATAACATATAAGCCTGCACTCATCAAGGTTGTCCCTTTAATTTAATATAATTTTATGTAAAACATAATAACCATCAGATTACAATATAACATTATGTACAATAATAGTTATGTACAATAATAGCTATCAGATTAT